CTAGCGCCCCACCATCCAACACGTAGTGGTCTTGGCCTGTGATTCCGCGTGCATCGTGTGTCAGTAGTGTCCAGATAGCATCTGCTAGCACTGGTTTCTGTGGCTGTCGGAGCAGCAGTGTGGAATCAAACAGAGCTGGTGGGTAACTGCACAGCTCATATTTGAACACAGACTCCAGATCCTCTGTAGCTTTTGCAGCAATTGTCAGTCGCTGGAAAAGCAGCTGGGGATCCACCTGTACTGCCTCACCATCAATCTTTACTGCCGATTTCGCAGCCAAGGTAATGGCCTGATCCTTCCTCTTGAATGTGTAGTCAGCAGCAGTTTGTCCATCCATGTTGGTCAGGATAGCTGTTCCAACAGTTTTCGCTGAGTCCACATTGACTGTGCTGGTTGCATGCACCCCTGTCGAGATGCTGCGCAAGCTCGGATCTGAGCTGAAGGGTGTTCTCTCTTGCAGATAGCTGATAACTGCATGTGTGTCTTTCATGTCCCGTGCTTGTCTAGCATTTGTCATGTCCTTGTTTTCTCCACCAGTGTTGTAGTTGACACCTGTGAGCTGCTGCATAGCATTGTTGACTTCAGCACAGGCAGGCATGGGGAGCAGCCATATGAGACGCTGTTGCTCTGTCATGCCTCGCCCTCTCGTCAGGCCACTGCTGGTCTTCATACTCCTCATCAGGACCTGTTCGATGGTGAGATCTACGGACAGACCAGCCCATAGGCGATCACTTCTTCTGACAACATGGAACCCTTCTTCGAATCGTTGGTACACATCTGGATGTTCGATCATCATTGAGCTTGCTCATCCGCTGCACATAGAGGCGGGCTGATTTGGTGTAGAGGTTGTGCCCAGAGACTGCCAGGTAGGGCAGCATTTCTGACACAGCTTCAAGATGCAACGCCCAGTTGCCAATGCGCTCTGCTCTGACAAACTTCCGTAGTATGTCCACCATCTCCACCATCCACCATCTTTTTTACTATCCCGGCGGGATACCATGTATGCAAGCATCGAAATCTGGTATCCAACACAAGAATCTACTATCCCGCAGATATCGGGATACCACTAATTTCGATACGTACTCCCCCAATTCAAAAAAAGTTCTTACCATGGGAGGGACACACGCACTCCCTTCCCTGCTCTGTCGCTCCGCTCCCTCGCATCGTTTCCTGTCCCGTATTCAAATTTCTTATATCTGTCACCATGGTCACCATGACATCTGGTTTTGGCTGCCATTTCGGCTTTTTGGTCAGGTTTAGCTTATTGAAATGTGTGTCATTGGATTCCTGGTCCCAGAAAATGTATGTTTAGCACTTAAAATCAAATCTCTATGTTATTTAGAAGCGGAGATATAAGAAAATATCAGTTATATGGCGGCCATTTTGAAAACCTTTCACCACCAGAATTCCTTAAAAGTT